GGGGCGGGCCCCAGCCATTTAAATTTAAATGAAGCCGCGATTATTTTAATCGCGGCTTCATTTCCCTTTTCCGATCTGGCTAATCTACATGCCTCCGTCGACGGAGGCATGGAGTTTGGACACAGCCTAAGACTGACAATCAAAAGTGGAGACTTTCAATCCCAATCTTTCTGGTATAAGATCCACAATCTTAACACAATCAATTTTATCCATATTGTTCTTCATCTGAGTAAAAGCAAAATAATCAAACTTGTTAGATGAAGTTTTCTAAAACACTGTATATGGCGGCAACTTACTGAGAGACAGTTGTGGAGCCAACTGATCTCTAATTAAGATCTTTTAATTTAGCCACTTATTGGTTGTTTTATTTATTTAATGGCCTCTTATCTATGTTTGCATGATATAATTATCTTCCACAAGGGTGGCCAGGCAAGGAAAAAAGAACCAGAGTCTCACTGGACAGATGTAGTCACGGCACTTAATGCATTTCTAGAAAGTGTTTTGACAGCACAGTGATGGGTGCCTAGTATAAGAGTTTGAAGAGAACAGAACAGACTACTAGGCAATTAGCAGAGGAGAGTATGTACTCAAATACATTGAGGATCTGAGTTGTGAGAGGTGTCTCAGAGAGATGCAGGCATGTATATGTTTATGCAATCTCAGAGGAAGAGGTCTTTCCCTCTGTGTGTGATGGGGGGTGGGGGCGAGATCGCAGACCCGGAGTGGATATTCTCACTTGCATTTAGAAGAATATCTATCACTATTAATGTGTCTGTAGATAAGAAGAAATAAAGAGGAGGGAATGTAGGATGTAAATGGGGAAGGGTAGAGAGATAGGGAAGAAGTAAGGATGTAGGATACTTAGGGAGTGGCCCACAGAAAGACAATGAATTATGTGAGTGTGTATCAAGAAAGGGACTCTGGGGGGGCACAAAACAAGAAACAGGAAAAGTGCATGGTAGGGAAAAATGGAGAAAGAAGGCATATTAATACGTGGCATAACACAGAGAAAGATGGGAAGGAGCTAATCAAATGTTATATCCTGATGTACTGCTGAACAGTAACTCCTGTTTACACATGAAGCAAGACATGAAGGTAGACTATCAATCTAAACATGTAATAACCATGCTCAGTTAGTCAGCCGCAGTCTGACCAAAATATTATAGCAGTCTGAACAGCAGATACTTAGCAACAGGCCCTGAGTAGCCACACAGATCCAATTTTACAGCCATCTCCTCTTTCCCCACCCCAACTCCCAGCCTCAGCCTTTTTCTTTCTCCTGTAGAGAACCAGGAACACTGAGTTCAGGGACTAACAATCAGGAAACAAAACAGGAGTGGGGAGCAGGAAGGCAACACAATCATCATCATCACAATTTTCTTCCCTTCTCCCCAAAAAGCTCAGTGGTACTTGACCCAGAGGCACCATATGAATAGACATCTGACTCGGGGGGGATGCTGTTATTATGGTGCATTTTCCTTGTTGTAAACATGGCATCATCACAGTAAGTAGGAGTATCTACTTACCTGTAGTAAACATACTTGCTACACTCCATACTCTGTAGCCCACAAGATCATACCATGAACTTCAAAACCACTTCCGGACACACACCTAATGCACACACTGTTGCAGCATAAAATGCATGGATTATTGTGTGGATATAGTTGTTGGAATTCCCATAATTCCTACTTACATCAGTCAGTTTTGAGAATGGCAAAAGGGTGGGAGGAACCTTTTATGTCAGCATAGACAATTTGGTCCTCACAGGTCAACTGAAGAGCTGACAGAATAGGGTTTCTTCAATACTTTCTTAAGGTGTATTCCAAATACAATATAAACTATCATTTAATGAAATAGGGAAGGATGTATCTTCATGTTCCTCCAGCATTCTGTGCAGTCTCTATATTATCCCATTTCTTTTGGAATGTTACATAGCAGATTTATAAATTACTGTGCTAATACTAGTCAGAAATTCATTACACTGTTGATAAAATCACTCTCTTGATAAAATAAGTACATTACTTAAATCAAGGCTCTCTGGTAAGCCAAACCTAGCAAATAAGGTGATCATGCAAGAAATGAGCTCCATTGAGGTTTTTGTGAAATTATGAATGCAAAATGGTAAAATAAGTAAAATTATAAACAGTCAGCAGTATGAACACATGCCATGCAAATGAGGGAACAGTAGTATCCACTGCATAGCCATAGTATGTCTATGGCTACCAGTTTCAAAGGGGCCAAAGAACAGCAATTTTATGCATGGGGCAGGCAAAGCTTGTGTTCACACAACACTCTGAGCACAACCTTGGCAGCTAGGCAACTACACAACTTCCTCCTCCCACTCAAAAAACAGGAACAGGAAGAGTGCAGGAAGCAGGAAACAAAAATAGGGTGCAGAAAGGCAATTCACACACATGATCCCTCTAGTCATTACATGGAAACATAGCTGTATCAATTCAATTGTCAAGAGTCCTAAAGACTAGAATAGATGTAAAAGTAGTCTCTGGAGGTTGCATTGGAGTGATGCAGATATATTCTGCCTTCCCTACATAACTTAACAATTTTGTGGGCCCCTTTCTTGTTCCACTCACTTCAGTCTCAGATGGTTTGAACCTGGTAGACTTTTTTCAGCAGTTTCCCCCATTATGCAGTCTGGAGTAGTTCACAACCATGAGTGCCAGCTTCAGGATAGACTGTCAAAAAGCAGGGCAGATAACCCAAACTGTCTGTACATTCTCTAATTAGTTTTTACCAACCCAGTAACAAATATGAATTCCTAAAGCACTATAAGAGTCTTACAATGGAATCACAGACAGTTCCCTTAGGCATTCCTATCTATCTCGGCACACGGGGAAGCTAGACTTAGTGATAGCTGGTTGCTATCTAAGGCCACATTTCATAGAAGATTCATGTTTCTTCTAGTCCCAAGAGACCAGTCACTTCCCCAATGTTAATTTGTATCTTAAATCTCACACTAAAGACCATGGTTGTAGCCAATCATCTAGTAAAGTAACTAACTAAAAAATATATGAGAGAATTATTTATATTTTAAAGTAGGATATAGATATATAGATATAGACACAAACAGATGAGCTACAGTCTCCAATAAGTGAACAAAATTGTAGTAATCTGACAGCACTGTATCTCTCTGAGGGTTAACCCAGGTTGACTCTGGGGATTTCTGCTTCTGTTTCGTAGCTCCAGCTTTGTCAGAGTTCAAACGGCAAAAAGAAAGGGAATTTTTTTCTTGCATTCCAGTTTTATCCTCTTCTTGCAGCATTCAAGCTGATGGGGTGAACGTTCTTGAGAATAGCACCTTCCCGGGTATGAGAGTGTCATTAACCATACCCTTTGTATCCTGATGTTCCCACAATGGCACATTTAGTTTTGATTGTCCTTCTTGATGGATGACGAATCATTCCATTTCCTTTCATCCTTCTTGTCACTGGAATGGTGAATGGGAAAGTGAGGCATTTAAAACATCTTATAAAGGAATATTTTAAAGCCTCTGATTCCTGTATGATTTTCTATATCGTGCACATTATATCCTATACAATTTTAAAAAATTACTTAGATAATTATAGAGAAAGATAAAGCCAACAAACTATCTCTGGCTGCTCCATAACTATTTCCATCTCAATTATCACCATCATTTCACATTCCTTGTGCTGAACCTTGATACCCTGATAGCAAAATTAATTTTGCTTGAAATAATTCCCTGGTGCAGACATGAGAAATGGCTGAAAGCTTGCCGATGAATATTTTTGAACATTTCACAAAACAGACTCCCTGGATACATATACATACAACTCAATTATGATGTCTGATTGAAGAAGCAGTTCTTTCATTTGCTGTATCTCTTCCTATTTGAATCCATATAGATAAGAATCCCTCTGTTTTTCCAGAGCTAACCTATACACTACTCACATCATCCTCCAACACATACATATTCCATTTAGAATATGAACAGTGGATGAATCACTTATTGAAGATTAGACCTCATTTTTTACTACTGTGAATCTGGGGTAACTTCACAGATGTAAATGAGCAAAGAATCTTGTCCATTGTGTTCCTCCTTGTCAGCATAACATTGTTTTCAGCTGTTGAAAACACTGCCTAAAATTAGATCATCCAGTTGTGTTTTGATTTGTGGGCACACATGAGCACAACATCTGTCACTCTTCTCTGTTAATCTATAGCATGTTCTGTTTCTAGAAGCAGTAAGAATAGCAACACATACCAGAATCAAGTTCTTCAAGTACCTAAGGCAGCAGGATTTTTCCGTATTTCAGCACCCACCCTGTTTATAAGTCTGGCACTGTCCAGCAGAGCAGAAGGTGTAATTTCAAGGAACCCCAAAGATCAGTTATTCAAAGACTGCCCCTGTGGAAAAAGTTGAAATATTTTTGTTTCAGCCCCAGTTTGGGAAAGTGATAGTTTTTTTTCAAAACATGAAAAAAAATGGTTTCAGACTGACTGAAAGAATTCAGTTCACACACTCCTACTACTAACTTACAATTACATAACTTAAAATGATGATTTACAGTGCATAGGCATTTTGCTGGGCCTGCGCACTGTGCTGTATTTCACCATTGTAAGCATTAACCAGACTTCATAAAAAAGCACAAGAATGACAAATTATTGATTACCCTGGAACTTCCAGTTCATAACATCTTCTCTTAGACGATGATCCTTAAAATCTTGTCCACTGCTTAGACAACTAGTGCAAGTATTTACAGCCAGTTTCGGTATTTCTAAAGTAAATACAAAGAAATATGAAAAACAGCTGCAGATACTAACTAACCATATCTAATTATCTTAAGCAAGACTGGATGTTTGTACAGCATCAAGCCAAATGTCAACACTTACCATATTATTATTACTATTACTGTATAGAGGTTGAACCTCTGTGATTCTGGCACCTTTGGGACCCGACCTGTCCTGAACAAGGGAATTTGCCAGACCAGGGGAGATCTTGTCACCAGCTTTCCAGGCACCTGCTGGCTTCACTTTTAGCCCCAGCCAACCCCTACTGCAGGCATGTCCAAAGTCCGGCCCGCGGGCCAATTGCGGCCCGTGTTCCGGTTTAATACGGCCCCCGCTTCCTCCCCCTCTCCTGGCTCCCCGGCGCTCTTTTGAACTGGCGTGCCCAGCGCGCCGCTTCCGGCCGCGCCGCCGCCGCCCATGGCCTCCGCGGTCCTAGAGCCTGCCCTGTAGGGCACGTCTGCAGCCCCGCTCCCCCGCTCGGCTGCGGGTTCGCCCTGCCCCCGGGCCGCTGTGAGGCCGGCGTGTCCTGCGCTCTCCGCCCGCCTCCGACCCCGCGGGCCCTCCGCCTTGGGGCTGAGGGTGCGGGGACGGCCCTCACTCATGTTCACTTCTTCAAATCTGGCCCTCTTTGAAAAAAGTTTGGACACCTCTGCCCTACTGCCTTCAGCCAGATGTGCTGACAGCCCTGGCTGGATCCCTCAGCTCCAGGACTCGCAGCTGCACTGCTGGGTCCCTTTGCTGCGATGCTCCCCATGCCGCCCGAGTCCCCTGATATAGGACTCCTAGCTGTGCTGTGGGGCTCCTTGTGCTGTCTGAGCCCCTGTTGTGCTTCTGGCTGTACCACTGGAGCTCACGCTGTCTGAGCCCCATGCTGTGGGACTTCCTGTTCCACCTGAGCTCCCTGTCGCAGGACTCCTGGCTGCGCTGACGGAGCTCCCCATGACAGCTAAGTCCCCTGCTGCAGGGTTTCTAGTCGCAGGGCTCCTTATGTCACCAGAACCCCCTGCCACAGGGATCCCGGCTGCAACATGGGACTCCCCATGCGGCCTGAGCCCTCTGGCACTGTGCTCCCCACATTGCCTGAGCCTCCTGCCCCAAAGCTTCCAGGCCACCACTGGCCTCCCTGCCCCTGGACTCTCTGATTCAGGAACATCTAGTTGGACCACAATTGTTGTTCAGTCCCAGTTTAGGGAGGTACAATCTGTACATGTTTTACAGATGAGTAAATGAAGGCACTGAGGTCAAGGCCTTATTGTGCCCCATTTTTCTGCACCCAGAAGTATCTTTGATCCAATAAGGATCAAAGCTTGTGAAATCCTCAAGGCTGTAACCAAGGTGGGGCAAGCAGCCAGCTGCCACCCAGGGTGCAAAGCTGGAGGGGGGGGGCGCCTCAGGCTGGTGATGCCAAATGACTTGGGCCAGCCCCACACAGTGGGCTGTGGGGATGGATCAGCCTAGTGTTGCATTGCGCAGGGTCAGGAGGTAGGGCCACCTCCACCCCCAAATCACCTTAGTGGGCCACCCAAACTGTCTGGGCTGGGTGGAAGCAATTGAAACATCAGGAGGAGGCATTTAGCCGCATGCCTCCCATGCATTTCCTCTCGAGGGGGTGCAAATATGCTTGTTCACCTGGGTGCTAAAATGCCCACTTAGAGCTCTGGAAATGTTCCTGGGGAAAGTGAGGCAGTAGTTAGGAACTATGCAACCATCACAGTGGTAATGTATAGGCTTAGGGAAGCCAGGGAGCACTACTACTGCTGCTTCATGGCTGTGGAAAGTATTCTGTTCCTGCTCCTGCTCAGACCTGCTGTGATCCCTAGCACATACTTAGGGTTTCTGTTTTTAGATTTTAGCTGATGAACACTGATAAAACGTTTCCAGGGAAAAAAGGGCATACACAGAACAATAACATGGACAGTAGAGATGCAATTTCTACCCTACACGGATGTGTTGCACATTAACCATCTGTGTAGATCCTGCTGGTCAGCATTAAAGATTTCCTACGGAGCTTTAATGTAGTGCTGTTTGAAACAGTACCCCATTAAAAGTGCGCTAGGGAATGTTACAATGAGGTTATTCATTACAGTATATACATAGTCCTAACATCTCTCCTGCATTGATCTGACACAGAGCATCTTTAAAGATAGCACATTAAACAGCTCAAGCAATTTCACGTGTGCTCCATCCAGTTAACAATGAGCATTTGCTTCAGAGTGATCAATATTAAACTCCTTGAGAAAGTAAACATAACCAGCATTGAGGAAATGCTATTGAGAGCACAACTTAAATGGACCAGATTTGCCAACAGCATGGTAGAACATTGCCTCCCCAAATAGATATTCTAGGTAGGAGTGGGGTAAGGAGACGGAGAAAAAAAACAAAGGGAAGGATTGTCCATATAAGCACTAGAAAGATAACCCGCAGAGCATTTTCCAGTGAGCTGGCATCTGACAGAATTAGAGCAAATTCTCAGAACAGGACTCAAATGGTCTCTGACAAAATCAGCATGCAACAGTTTTAGAGCAGGGTTGACAAAATATTGTCCTGGCTGCATGTGAAAGACACCACAGAACTGCATCATCAAACATCATAGAAATGGACTTCTCATACTCTTAGTTAACGTGGCCACATTTCCCTATGCCGAATATGGGACACCTGGTAAAATTGTTCAGATTTAAGCAAGTTCATTGGCAGTCAATCAGAACTTATGAAGTACAAATGGTCAAAATAAGAAGTTGACTGATCACCCATTAAAAAGACATACTACATTATTATAACTAAAATAGGTTAAACATTAAAAATATGTACTTACAATTAAGTGGTTACTGCTCTTTAGAAGTGCCTGACTTTTCCTCATCTTGCTGTCCTCCACAGTGTGGGCTGGTTGTTTGAAGTGTGAAGGCTAGTTGTATGAAGAGGGGCTGCAGGAACCAGAACAGTCGACTGGGTGTATGTGTGTAGGAGGGCTGGAAGCATGTGGGCGAGCTGCAGGAGTCAGGGCTAGGGGTGATGGGGTGGGGCAGGAGACTGGGATAGGGTGCAGGGGTCAGGGCAGGAGGCTGGGGGCATATAGGTGAGGTGCAGGACTCGGGAATCAAGACAGAGGGCTGGGAGTGGGGGGATACTGTGGGGGAGCTCTGGGTCCGGGTTACCTATCTTACCTGCTGCCACAAGGGAGCTGTGGGCCATCTGTGTGGAGGCACTGCAACTGGGAAACTGGACAGGGACCCCTCCCCCCCGACTTCCTCCCTGGGGCTGCTAGCAACAACTCTTGCCAGAGACAGCATGTAGGCTGCCCAGCACACAGGCTGTTTAAAGAGCCTGCCCCAGCCAGTTCTTTAAACAGCCAATCCCGGCCTCCCCAGTTCACTCTTTAGACAGCCTGCCCTTGCTGTGCAATACATGGGACAATTTGCCCATTTTTAAAAAAAGGCAGTATTCCTTCCAGAGAGCTAAAATAAGGACTGTCCCATTAAAAATGGGATGGATGGTCCCCCTATTCTTAGTGCAGCTGAGTCTGCGCATCTGAGTTTGGATTTCGTATGTGCAGCCATAAATGAGAATAATGACATTATCTTCATCCTTGTCAGTGATGCATTGCCAACATAAACAAAGGGAAAGCCTGTCTTCAACCCCCCACCAACTCCTGATTTTTGGACAACTTCTGTACATAAAACTCAAGCATCTTATTGTCAAAATAAAATAATATAATCATTACAGTTTCAATTATATTGGTAATTTATTTTTGGAGAAATAGAATCTCTACTATCATTTTAATATTGAACTTGAATAATAATTCATTTAAACAGCAATACAAAAACATATTTTCTCAGAAGTAGTGCAAAGTCCCTGTACCTTCACTCAGCCAGGGATAGCTGCCCCATTTCCATGTGTTCCTGCATACCCACTCCTCATTCAGCCAGGCATAGCTGCCCTGTTCCCATATGACATTGCACATCTACTCCTTTTGCCCCCACATGTTCCTACACTCTCAGGGTATGTCTACACTACCGCCCTAGTTCGAACTAGGGTGGTTAATGTAGGCAACCGAAGTTGCAAATGAAGCCCGGGATTTAAATTTCCTGGGCTTCATTTGCATCTTGCTGGGTGCCGCCATTTTTAAATCCCCGCTAGTTCGGACTCCTAGCAAAATTAATTTTGCTAGGAGTCCGAACTAGCGGGGATTTAAAAATGGCGGCACCCAGCAAGATGCAAATGAAGCCCAGGAAATTTAAATCCTGGGCTTCATTTGCATCTTGCTGGGTGCCGCCATTTTTAAATCCCCGCTAGTTCGGACTCCTAGCAAAATTAATTTTGCTAGGAGTCCGAACTAGCGGGGATTTAAAAATGGCGGCACCCAGCAAGATGCAAATGAAGCCCAGGAAATTTAAATCCTGGGCTTCATTTGCAACTTCGGTTGCCTACATTAACCACCCTAGTTCGAACTAGGGTGGTAGTATAGACATACCCTCGCTCCCAGGGGCAGATATAGGGCAGGGCGAACGGGGCGGCTGCCCCGGGCCCCGCGCTTCAAAAAGCCCCGCGCATGTGCCGTGGCGCCGCTGCGCATGCGCCATGGCAAAGGGGGGGCCCCACAGAATTACGCTGCCCGGGGCCCCGCAAAACTGTCATCTGCCCCTGCTCACTCCTATTCACCTCTGCTAGGTATTGTCACCCAACTGTGCCCCCACACAGTCTGTTCCCCCCAACTAACTCTTGTGAACCCCAGGCTTTGTGACACCCCCTCCCCCAGCACCATGTGTACATACCTCTATATCCTGTGCTTTCTTACCTAGCACAATGAGCAGGGCACTGAGGCTACATCTAGACTACAGGCTTCTTGTGCAAGAAGATTTTTGCAGAGAGATCTTCTGCAAAACTTGAGCAAGAGTGCGTCCAGGCTGAAAAAGCGCATCAAAAAAGTGATGCGCTTTTGCACAAGAGA